GATATATTGAAGACTGACAGGAACTGGTTCTACAGGAAAACGATTTAGTAAGCATCATGAATTGAGAAAACGTACAATCAACAATGACGCAATCTGCAGGAGCGGGAAGTAGTCACTGTCACAGACGGATTTCTTGGTCACCGTTGATTCGCAAGCGGAATCAATAGATGATACCACGCTAAGTGGTTTCAAAAAGGGTGCATTTGTTTGCCGGTCCAATCGTCAGCTGGGTCGGAGTAGTTGGGAAGGTAAGAACTTTGTTGCCGTGGTGGCCATTTCGGAGGCCAGCGGTTGGACTGGTTGGAACGGGAGATCACATTGCGGTAGTTTCTAGCTCACCAAAAGAGTCCAAACATAAGATCTCCGCTGTGCATAGACGGAGTTAACTTGAACGGGGACAGTATATAAGTAACAGGTGGTCGGGCAACAGCTTCCGACATAATGGACGAGAGCCAAAGTTTGACTGAAGCCTAGGTCAACTTAACAGGAAGTACTAACTAAGGGTCTCCAGTCACCGACTCACTTCTGTCAGCTCCAAGAAGTGAATGGTGCATGGCGAAAAACGGCCATTGGGCGCTATCTGTGACTGCTTGTGTACGGGAAATAAATGGGAATTCACATTTTATATGTATATGATCGCTTCAAAGAACAAGAGAGGAGAACATGTGTGCTATGTATGGACGATGAGGTGGACTTGGGGTGGTGCAACTTAATTTCAGGCCATATAAATTTCCCTTTTGCCCGCACCGATGTGCATTGAAGCTCATTGAAGATTCGTCTTTGGACCAATAATCATCCTCATTTACATCAACGACCATCCTGATGTGCCGCCAATTTCACTCCAAGATTTTTCCGGGGGACCGGAAGTCCTTGAGTTCCAAAGCCATTGCGCCGTCACCATGAAACGGCAGTCGCCGGACTGGCAACTTGCTCTAGATGACGCAAGTAGTACACAGATGTATTCGACAGAAGACTTGCCCAACAAATGTCCTGGTTAGTGAAGATGAACCACACGCAACTAAGAAGCAAGACATAAAACAATAAGCTTTGTTTACCCATCCTCATTCAGTCAAGTAAAGAGGGTTAAGAAGTTTGTCGTTGTACAGATCTGTCCACACAATCGCACGAAACCACAGATACCAAAGCCTACTTAGGATCGCCTCTTAAATTTGCCAGTTTGGTCGATTTCTCAAGATGCAATACGCATGCCACTCCAATGGAACCCGTCCGACTTGCTGCTCCGAAAATGGTTGCTATTCCGAAATCTGTTGATTATCGAATTCGTCTAGATTCTTGATCTCTCTCCGGTGGTTTAGTTCAGTTTATTGGCTATAAAGCAAGTTAAAGCTGGTTCAATCCACCAGAGTTTCTGTTGCCCGAAAATGAAAGGGCGTCGGAAGTACAGCCAAGAATTACGGCCGACAATATGCCTATTTAGTTCTAAAACTGAGCAGTAACGCATGAAATGCGGTAACTTGGATGCAGGAGCGCCACTGATTACCTGATGGGGCTATGTCCACCCGTGTCAGAAACCACTGGTGAGTTTAGCTCCAGGGTCCCAAGCTAGTTTTCATCAGGCTGTTTGCTGATCAGTGCTGTTTTACTTTGGATAACACACTCCACGGCCTCTTGCACACAGCACAGGACTACGGAAGATGAGCTCTACCTGGTAGCGGCCCTCTGGCCGGAGGAAGAAATCCCCTAATTGGCGTTACATATGGAGGAGTGAGTAACTCATCTGTCGCGAAAGAGTCGCTTTCTCTCAAAACCATCCTCCATGGTTCAGTATCACTAATCCGGTATACACAAAAAATCCGACCGATCTTTGAAAGAGCCGATGGTCAGACACTGCCAACTTTTGCAGGCCCTCTGCGTGATCCATGGATGGATCGCACTACCATAGAGTAGTTTCTGCTGAGAACAGACAAACTGACTTTATCCCGGCGCCACAAGTGTTAAAAGCCGGAAACGATGGTCTTTTTTCACGACTTTAAAAGCTGATCTCGTCACCAGTCAGAATACTGGAACCTATACAGTTTCCCAGGTAGAAAAAATTCATCTACCAGTTCGACTGCTTCGTAAACAAATATGAGGGTATGTGTTGTTCCTATGAATTCCTGTGGCCTCACTTTACAACTTGCAGAGATGCAGAGCATACCAAACTAAACGGAACATTATTAAGGTTATTCAGCTTAGCTTACACTTTTGAAGGATCTGAAATGAGGAGAGGAATGTTGTCTTTGTATTCAGTGCCGGTGTCCAAGCGCCTCAAAATTATTTCAGTCCCCGAAGTTTCGAAGGCAGACAGAGATGCTTTAAGCAGCGCGTCAATGCCAAGTTTGACAAGAACCGCTGAAAGAGGGTGACATTGCCTCACAACACTGGACATGAATAACTCAGGCAAAAGCTTGCCATATGCTCGTGCGCGCCCACGGGAGTTCGTGAACGGTGCCTCCATTAGGTATATATAAATTTGGAAGAAACGTGTTTATTCGCTAGATATCTCGAAAGATTCTATGTATAGGCGGTTTCAAAATCAGCCGTTATGTGAAACGTGGGACGTTTGAAAGAGTGTAAACTTCCGAGATATTGTTCCAGGATAAGAGTTAGATTGGTTCATCCCAAGTTAGAGTGAAAAGTGCCTGGTTTGCGCTAGCTTGATTCTTTGGATCGTCGATCAAATTTCACAGAGGAAGAACACCTTAGATCCAACGGATATAGGGCCTATTTTACGGTGGTTTTTGCATGACGTCCTTGCGTCCTTCTTGAAAAGTGCAACCACGGTCTATACACTCCGTTCTAACTGTATACTGTTTTCATTCCAAATCTTGTGCACTGCGACAGTTGGACTGCTCATCAAGGTCCACCACATTGAAAAGTGCGGAGTGCGGATAGTCTGAGTCATGTAGCTTTCGGCGATATAAGAATGGCATCTTAAACTGGTTTGTTGTAGTTAAAGAGGGGCTTTTGCTGACGGTTGATTTTGGAGGCTGTATACGGAGATTGTGTCAGATTTCACCAGATTATCCCCAACTCCTAGAGCACGTGGAACCTATGTTTGGATAGGACTTTGCCGATGGGATTTTTGCTTGCGAACTCATTAATGCTCGGTAAGAGCACGGTAAGGGATTTTTAAGATCAGATAGGACAATTTTGTCGAACAACAGATCACCTACGATGGATCTGGATCCGCCTTCAAGCCACCATTGTGGGTTTTGTGGATTACTCCGCCGGTTAACGTAACGGTTAGAGTTGAGAACACAAAAAAGGTGTTAAACTATGTTGCGTGTACCGTCAGAATGGCAGCTAGAGTGAACCGGGCCAAGGAAGCTTTGGAAAAAACCCTGGTCTTCTGTGTCGCTCCATTACTCTGTAAAGTTAGGATTGTAAAACACATTCTTTTTCTGTTCCATGTTGACGTGCCAAAAGTAAAAGGTTTTTCCTTGAGAGCGATATGCAACTCGCTCACAAACACAAACTAGGTTTCGCCTACCATCACGTATAAATCTACTTCATCTCCCTAGTTCGCTCAGAGGCTCTCCTGTGGAAAACACTGCAGCCACAACTGAGGCCTTAATCGTACATTTGCCGTCTCCGAATACCGCGCCTTAAAAATTTGTGCTCCAGATAGCTTGAGCCGAATATTACATAACTAGGGCGTCCGGTTCGCTGAGGGCCCTACAGCAGAGGTTGATCCACAACTACCCCCGCCCCACAAAAACGCAGCAATTCCTCCGACCATTGCCTGCAGCAGTTTTCGCCTCTTCCTAGCTTATGAACCCTTGTCTGGAAAACCCCCGAGAATCTTTTCGAAAGGGTTCACGGTTACAGTTTCGATCAGCCATGAAAATCATTCTCGACTGCGCCAATATTGCGGCCTGAAATTGTGCTCTATTTGTCTGTGTTATCACTTGCTTTCTGGGTCCAGAACCTGGTCGAATCTTCCACTCATAGCACTGTTATCATGGGTCCACTGGTTACTTTCTATGCCTCAGTCGTGTTACGCTTCTATAGACTTGTTTCTGCGCATTGCTTTTGCAAACTGTGTGCGACCAAATAAGTGTGTATTCATACAAAGTAGTCAGAAGGCCGATCCCACATGGTAGGCTTATCCACCTAACTCACATATCCAACAAACACGCTAACACCCATGTGCTGCACTCCATTAGTCGCGTTGGCGAATTAATCTCTTCTGGGGCTCTGAGACTGACCCTTATTTTCAGAACGCCGAAACATGGAACTTCTACTATCAGCCAATGTGGCTGGCCTACGTCTGCCCAGGTTCACGGATTCACGGATTGATACACAGGATAGAGGCTATTGCCCAAGTTTCCCGGGTCGCTTTTGTTCTCATCGGTCGGTGGCTGCGGTTCACCTGAAAGGCACAAGGAAAAAAGGGGTGTAGCACTTCTCTTTATGTTCTCAGCGCGGGGCAGTATGCTTGCCAGCGCGAGGAATCGCATGAATAAATGTTTAATAGTGCTTTAAACTGGGTTATTGAAAGAGCGTGGACAACCGTCGGAGGAAATACATTCCACGCACCCACTACCCAAAATGAGAAAAAGTTTGTCTAAAGAATGTGTGCTCTGAGCTTGAAAATTTTCTTTCTATGTCCCCATCGTATGTTTGCTGGGTCAACAGTAAAAACCTGTTTGCCAAGCTTTGTTCAAACAGGGCATAAGTAAGAATTAGGTCGCCTCAGAGGCGACGGTACTCCAGGGGACTAGCAAAACCAGTCCTAATAGATCCATGACACAAGGCACGATTAATTCTCACGCGCTATCACTGAGTTGGACCAAATGCAACTGATGTGAAGTTCTGTAGATTACACTTGCTTGAAACCCATCCCCAATCCACCGCTTAACCACATTTTACAGGTGGCAGTTAATCTTCCAAGTACACTTCACTAGTTCAAGCCTCAAAATTGCATCGGTAACGCATTCATGAACTTCCTTCCCCCATCCTATTCTTTCGGCCAAAATTTCTGGTTTTATTTGGACTGCTCTTTGACATGTATGTAGGCATCGTCAATCTATTCCTATTCTCAATCTATGTCTTCAGTTCTCATAAAGATGCAACCGCCAGTACGCTTTAGCCTACGCACCGTTCTTAGCATTCTAAATGAATCAGAGGTCCACTATCTACAAGCATTTTGCGGCCTGCCAAATTATCGGAAAAAACAATTTTTGGGTGACCGATGCACCCTTTCTTCGGGCACTACAAAGTACAGGATATCCACCTAACCTATGCCGTTGATTCTTGTTACTCTAAGCCACGGAGGGTGGCCTGTATCCTCCTCCTGAATAGTGTCCTACTTTTTTGGCAAGTGCCACTGAACAGTCCAGGTCGATAATTGTTACGTTTTCGAGGTTCCGTTTTTGTTATGAGCCCAACGTGTACGATCAACGGATATAGGCAACGTTGAAACAGGCGCCAGTATATTGAGCTCTGGCGTGAGTCGAAACATGTAGAGTGCTCAGAGAAGAATGTTAAACATAGGGAGGATAGCATTCACTGCCCCAACAGAAGGCAAAGCACAACTGCAGCAACGGTGGATATTTATGTATTGAAGGCTTCCGAAGAAAGATGGATGCGTTTGCACGAACCAAATGCGTTTAGTTACTCGGAGAGAGGTGCAGATTTTTTGAATGTGTGACAGCAGAAGTCGTCCCGAATTTCCAGATTAAAATTTTTAGAAATTTACTAACAGTGGTGCAATAAGTAAGATTTTTTGGACACTGATATTTCTACCAGTTTTTGGCCCCAAAGCTCCCCCACGCGATAGGTTCCAGTTCTCTCTCTCATCACTCGTTTTTTTGGAATAGCAATGGGTCCGGTTACGGTTGAGTTGCGGTATTAGGCTTTGAACATCCTCGTACTCTGATTTAAATACCATACCCGGTTTAAGACCAAATCACAGCTGCCTATAATCCGGACAGCTGCCCAAAACTGCTGGAGTAAGCTTACATGTACTTCAGGGAGTAGTTCTTCATTGACTGGACCCACTTAGTTGAATCGTCGTCCGGCCCACCGCCCCCAAGTCCGATCGAGGGGTCTGCCCCACCTAATCGTGCCTTTCGCCCCGGTTTTCTCCCTATTGTATCTCCTCGGCAATAGGAATTCAAATTCCGTTGATTTAATAACGTAGTGGCCCGAATTATTTAGAACTAACATGTGAACGAGAGAGTTAGTGATATACGGATTACTGTCGAGACCCTCTCCAGCCAATGTGGCGTTTACATCTTTATGTTCCGTTATCGCACCGAGCGGACGCTATCTGCTTGGATTGCCTTATCTACATTAGTTCGCGACTAATCAACATTCCAGTAACCACTTCTTATTCAATTTCTTCTCTCGAGTTCAAATCTTTACCACTTTACAACCATTTCTGATTGGGAATGCCTCTTTGCTTATTACATATGCTGTTATTGGCGGACTCAAGAAACTCGTCCTTCTGTACTGGTCGCGTTCTTTCTCGATCTCTGGTTTAGTTCCACCTGCAGTATATGTGTCTGTTGGCCTCAAAAGCTTTAGCACAGATATCTGAATACCATGCCTTTTTACGTCACAAGGGTTACAATCAAGTTCCTCGCAAACCAACAACATCGATGCGCAGTTCTGCGGTGGATCACTTGGTTGTTTTTATGCAGGATCCTTCTTGGCCAAAATTGTACAGCATGCACCTCTTTCCCACTGGTAATATCTAGCGTTCATTTTAGAGCCGCCACATTCTCTCCATTACTCAGAGGATTTGCCCGATGCTTCTGGAAAGTTAAACTTCTCCCTTTGCTGAGAATAGCGCATCTCAGATGGCTGAAACCAAATATCACCAAGTGAATTCCAGGCAGGAGATACACCGAATCCTAGAATCCTGCCTCCACTCAATGATGAAAATAGTGCACGCGCCATTTGGCAGACGGTCTAGACGCCTGTTGCCGATCAATGAAAGCAAACTGAAACTGACTTCGCCGAAATTATGCGGTTTCAAAGTGGGAAGTTCTTGACTAAGTTAATTTGGTTAAACTGCATGTTTGTTATTAAAGCTAATAGCTCTTCGTTTAAGTGAATGGAATTTCAAGGTCACCAAACACCGCCACCTTAAATGTAATGGCCAGTTGAACGATAAATCGTATATCCAAAATGCTACGAAGTTTGCGGTCCACGATATTTTAAAGGTTTCGGGGGATTTATACATTTGCCGTTGACCCAGCAAACACACGGTGGGACATACTAAAAAAATTTTGAGCTCAGAGCACACGCATTCATGAGACAAAATTTTTCTCATTTCGGGTAGTAGATGCGCGGAATGATCTTTCTCCGACGGTTGTCCACGCTCCTTCAATAACCCAGTTTAAGGCACTATTAGACGTTTATTTATGCGAATCCTCGCGCTGGCAAGCATACTGCCCCGCGCTGAGAACACAAAGAGCAGTGCCACACTCTTTTTTCACTTACGAATTTTAGCTAAACGACAGCCACCGACCCACAAGAAAAAAAGCGACGCAGGAGAATTGGGCAATAGCCTCGATCCTGTGTATCAATCCGTGAATCCGTGAATACATTATTTCGAAAGCCAATTTTACCACAGTAAATGGTTGACCAACTTTACTACATGGTTCACAAACGTTTGGCACAGCACTGTTATTAGCAACGCTTTACTTCAGTTGGGTGGAGCGTCTGAAAACTTTGTTTATTGTATCGTCACCTTCCATCATTTTGAATTATTGCCATTAGGCACGCAAGATACTGAAATGATTCGGCATTTTTCGATGACCTTATTTCCAGTGGCAACCGAAGGACTTTCTCTAGTCTCATCCAATGGCCAGGAAGGCCCGCCATAATCACAATCTTATGTGCTGCTTATTATAACTGCCAGGTCCGTGCCTATGCGCGCCGCCGAGTATGAGCCCTACCTACGCACGATATCCTGGTACACGGTTCATCATCATCATAACCGTATGCGTTGCCTCACTGTCGTAACCCGCCTAAAAATTATGGAGCAAGTACTGGCAATGTACGTTTTCATTCACTGGACCGGTATCACCGTAATCGATGGTCACTTGGTGCCATTCTACCTAAATCACTTTCAATGGATTGTAGATCTGAAATGAAAACTAGGCATTCGATTTATTTTTGAGTATATCTTCTATAAAGGTGTTCAAATATCTAAACGTCATTAAGGCGAACTTGGTTATCCCTCAATTATTCTCACGCTTCACACATCCTTATTTAGCATAACTTATGAAGGAATGCAAAATCACTTTCATTTCACTAACCAATCCCAGGCAGCTAATCACTCCGCCGATTCTCAGGGGTGAGATGGCATTCGATACGTTATAGAAGCATGCAAGTTTTGTATCTAATGATTATCACCGCTGCTATAATACAATTTAGGTCACAATTGAAATCTTTGGAGCAGTGTGCCGTCTGAAAAAGCTGCTTCGGAACAAGGATAAAATCGATCGTCAGTTCTTCAAATCTGTTATTTGATTTCGTCGTTACCAGAGTAAATCATCGGTGGGTCAAGCCTTCGAAAACACTAAGCGGGGTTTCAATTTATCCCACCAAGCGTTCTTGCTCAAACTGTTAGGTCCGTGGTAGCAATAACCTGTGAATTCTACTGCTTCGGGGGCCGCAGATCAAGCAATTTCTTGTTGTGCATTGAACCCATTCTTTCTATTATACGACGAGCAAAAAATCTCGTCCTTTCTTGATCTTTGAGATTTCACAAGCATCCGACATCCCGTCTTGTGCGCGTCGGAACCATTCTGTACACACGTCAGACACTCATTTATGTAGGAACACAATACGGTTACCATACATATACGCGCTGGTAGGGAACGGGAATTCAAACAAACTCCACAAGTCCATGGACAAGTACAGAACACGTATAGTAGCCGTACTGCTGTAAAACACATTCCCCCGTCTGGACTTTCATCCGGAACCCTCGCAAATGATACGTTCCGCTTTTAAAATACTCCACTTGTTGCATTGCATTTAGTTTATTCATGGTGCAACTTGCCACCGCAAGCTACTTTCAACCATAGTAAAACTGTTATTAGTGCCTCATCTGAGTTAGATTATAACTATAACAACCGGCGCACTAATTGCTATATATACACATTTGGAAGTTGTTGCTGCTCTGAGGGTTCTCTCAAGCCCAACGTGACTAACCCCACGATAGCCGGGCTGTGGGCGCTCAATTCTTTACTGCATATTTTCTCATATCCCTATCCTAATTCAATGCCAGTGCGCCTTCTTCTTGTAGGAGGCTAGCGAGTGTGCACTTCAGTTTAAGTTGACGGGGACCAATACAACCCTGAAAACTACAAAAATGTATGTCCTATACCCATTCACTGTATACCCACAGAAGAGAAGAAGTACAAACATTCCTCACGTTGAATGGCCTGCTTTATTCTTTCCGATAAGACATCCACCCCAATGGCTTTCGTTCGGGCCGCCTGAACCACCTTGCTATCGACATCGCTGTCAGTGGCGGTTTGCAACAGTAGACGCATCCATAGTGGTCTTCATGAAGGCTTTGGAGGTGATTCTGCACGGCATGGTTGTGTATCCCTAATGAACCGTAGGCCTGTTCATTCCACTAGCCCCGTTCACGCGTACTCAGTGCCCTAGGTGAGGTTCTGCAAGGCGGTTTCTTTTAAGTTCCATGACACCAGTGGTTTACCTAAAGATCAGTCTTTGCACCCACTCCGCTTATCATTTTTGTTAACACGCTCTCTACCATCCTGCCTCCTAACTCAACGGGCATTGGTTGCGTTCCCTGAAAGTGTGATGCCTTGAACTTAGAGTGGTTTCTGCTTCCAGTTATCCCATACCATTTATTCAAATTGACCGACTATAGCCTGGCAGCTACAGGCCTATAAGCCTCACTAGTGTGCCGTGCAAGGCGATGGAACGAATTCGGAAGCGAGCTCTTCTAGATCAACTTTTTCCAGCAATTCTCCAGCCCAACACGGATTTCTCCCAAACCGCGCTTGCGTGACAAACACGCTCGTGTTTATGGAAAACTTAACCCAGGCCATGGACGAAGGACTCATATCGGATGCCATATTTTTCGACTTCTCAAATGCATTGATAGGGTCCCATACGTCCCGCTGCCCCACAAACTCGAGTCTTGCGGGATTCAAGGGGAAATCCTACACTGGATCAAGGCGTTTCCACCAGACAGATCATTCCGAGTGAGAATAGGCTCGACCTACTCTTCTCCAGTGTCGGTCTCAATTGGATTCCTCAAGGCTCCGTCCTGGGACCAGTGCTGTTTCTGATCTACGTTACGACCTCCCAGGTGTTCTTGCAGGTCCATGTCTACTTTTTGCGGACGACTTGAAATCCTGGAGTTCCAATGTTAGTGCCCTCCAAATGGATGTAGACGCTGACAAAGAGTGGTCGTTGGGCTGGCACCTTCATATGAAGGATGAAAAGCGCATCCATATTTCATTTGGACGAGACTCAGCGAAAGCCTTTGTTGTGCATGGTGAGAAAGAACCAGAAAACTTCATGAGGATAGGCGCCCAAAGGATTTGGGCATCTGGGTCTCCTCAAACTTGTCCTTCTCGCTGCACCATGAGAAGTCGACACGAAGGGCACCCGCCATTTTACGGATGATCCAACGCCCTTCTACCGGTATTACTCGCATGTACTTCCAAATACTCTATGGGGCCTACGTCAGACCGCTCCTAGAATACGCCAACCAAGTTGTCTACTCAGGACGCACGAGAGACGTCACCCTCATTGAGGGTGTCCAGCAAGCCGCCACGAGAATTGTTGCCGGACTACGAAACGCGTCTCGCGATGCTTGATCTCTTTCCACTGGAGTACCGTTTCTCCGAGGCGACCTAATTCTTACTTATGCCCTGTTTGAACAAAGTTTGGTAAACAGGTTTTTACCGTTGACCCAGCAAACATACGGTGGGGACATGGTAAGAAAATTTCCCAGCTCAGAGTACACACATTCATCAGACAAAATATTTCTCATTTCGGGTAGTAGGTGCGCGGAATGATCTTCCTCCGACGGTTGTCCACGCTCCTTCCGGAACTCATTTTAAAGCACTATAAGACAAGCATACTGCCCCGCGCTGAGAACACGAAGAGCAGTGCTCCACCCTTTTTCCACTTGTGCCCTTCAAATGAACGACAGATACTGACCGACAAGAACAAAAGAGAACCAGGAAACTTGGGCAAACGCCTCGATCCTCTCCATCAACCAGCGAATCCGTGAACTCTTACAAAATTTCGCGTACCCCATTAAACAAGTGAACTCCATCTTTAGCCTTCCTTTGCCACTTGAACCAGAAACCATACCCACCCTTTGTCACCACCAAGACCATATCCATGCGTCTCACTCACAATGTGCCTGCACTCATCCATCATGCATTCCCCTCGCTAGGTCAGCGGAACTTCATCTTCCCTCGTCACTCTATAATTTAGCCTCCTGAAACATTATGGTATTGTCTGACTGTTTTTCCTGAAGCGTGATTATAATATTCTTTGGAAGGTCCATCGGAAGGCTAAAAATTCAGTGGCCATAATCCATCCCGCCTCAGACGATCCCTCCTCAACGTTCTTCTCGTGTAGTGTGGTTCAGAGACCCAAGCTCAGACCAATTTATTTATCGTATCATCATCTTCGGTTGTGGTAATGCCTGCGTTATCTCTTTGTGAATCAATTTACGTCACGGATGAGCAAACGTTTTTCTTCTGAGAAGGTTCCACTGTTGAACATACTTCCAGGGTTCGCTTTGCTGACCATCCAATACATGGTTTAAAAAGCGCGATCAGTGGGGTGCTAATTCCTAGTTCAGCGATCAAGCCAGTTATCTGCAATGCATGAAGTTCACTGGAGCCAGAAACAGGACGATAGTTGGGATTTGCCAGGACATCCTAGACCCTGTCCTGTCCAATAAGTGCAACGTGACCTTGAGAGTAGGCAAGTTTGTCCCGGGGCTTTTGTCCGAGTTTTTGGATCAGTCTTGGTGTTACATGTGCCGCTAGCAGGAGTCGTCGGGGAAAGAGCCCCCGAACATTCTTCTGCATGAGTGCCATTGAAAACAATTTGCATCGTGTGGATGGAATGCTCTCAAGCGTGCGACGGTCAGAAATGTCTGGAAATACGAATATTGATTCTGTTGGCCTGGATAAGAAGTAACGTATTACATAACCTCATAACGGTTCTTCTACAGGATCTCGCGCGTTCTGCGATTGCGAGATATGTTTCAAACGGGGATCATACGACCTATTGAAGAGATAGATGATCCGGCCACCCCACCGATGCCTACGTCTGACAAACAGATATCGGACGAGCGCCTGAGGTTTTTAAGGTATTTTATCTGCGTTTGTCATACTGGATTCCTCAGTTTAGTTCAGTACTGATAATGTACGAAATCGAGCTTTCATCTGGTAAACCAGTCCATAAACATTGTCACAATCAGTACCTTAGTCCATACTTAGTTCTTGGGGTTGTCATTGTCGTTGTGAGGTAGAAAGCGGAGCGTCTGATTAGCTCCTTTTCCAGAACGAACAAGAATTTCAATAATAACCCAACAAGAAAACCCGGAGGATTCCTCACTGGCCCCGTGCTTCGAGTAATGGTGTGAAACATGCCTCAAACTGTGTTTTGACAACCGATTCCTCGGGACTATTCCAGTTAACCAATGCACGGGTAGTGAGCATCGAGCAACCGCAAATGCGTGGCCTAAATCTGGATGGTTGCAGCTTGTGACCTAGCTTTAAAAGATCGTGGATATTGTCCTCACGAGATACATGTGTTCTAAAATCCCCACAGCGACGCCAGCACTCTAGAGGACTAGAGTCGATCGTCGATGCCCGTCTTCGTGGAGTTAGAGTCAGAAACGTATACGGTCACTTTGATCCTCTTCGATGAACCTTTGTTTAATAAATATTTGGTGAGTGAGCCACAAGCAGACCGGTATCCAGAATAGGACGCACATTGGCTGCAAGCAGTGGCTCATTCCTCTGAGAGGTCATTCCGACAAAAGGCCCTTTTGAACCAAATATTTTGATGGCGTAAGTACCCTTTGAACGTGGTTTGGGTTGTCTTGATATCGAAAGACGCCAACACACGTTCTGTGGGTCGTCTGAATCTTCGGTGCATCATGGTTTGGTTCAGAGCTCTAGGTGGACTGCGTACAACAAACCATATGGATTGAACCCCATTAGAGGTTACTCACCACGCGAGCTCAGGTTAGAAAATCGATCCATTGGGCCACTCGCTGGTCACGGTACTGGTGTGGAACAAGTTTTTCCATCATCAATTCTATCAGGCGTCCTTCCAGAAAGACACTGGTCCTTTGCAAACGGCTCTCTAAAACACCGAAAGGTTCGGGTTTCAGTGATAGTCATTTGGGCGTAACTTTATTGAATGTTTTGCCGTTGGACTGCATGAGGATATTGACCAGCTTCCAATGTAGCTGCCCACCTTTCCTGCTAAAAGTTGGTGACGCTGGAATGAGCCTGTTGAAGGTCTTGGTGAACACGGCTTTCCGTCAGTCCTGTCCTTATGGTGCTGCAGTCTGCTCCACACTTTACGTACGGTTGATATCAACCAAGTGGGTTAGTAGTTCTTAGCTCTACATGGAGTCTCAATTAAAGATGCCGTTCACTCTAGGATAAGTCACTTGACACCGGTCATGAAATGGTGGGGGGTTGGTTGTCAGTTCGCCTTCCTAATAGTTGCAAATGCTGAAACAAAACAGTTCTGTACATGAGCTTCGACGAGCTTCGGCAGGTCAACGGTATTTCACTGTTCTGACCAGCGAACCGCACTAAATGCACGGTCATGCAGATAACGAAGACTGGCAGGAGAATGAATGGAGGATGGTGAGAGAAGCTATGCTTCCGACTCTCAGGACTGCCTATTCAAGCCATCAATTAGACTCCGGATTTCGTTGAGATCAGCAGGACTTGTTGCTGCAAGAAAAGAGATACCTGCACTAAGCGATCACGGTGGCGCACCGGATAAGCAAGAACCTAAAGAGGGACAGAACTTTGGTGCATTACAAAGGTCCAATAGATGAATAAGGCCTTCGCCGCAGGCAATAGCCGCGCCTTATTTGAGCTGATTCGGTCAACCGGCCAAAATATGTTTGTTAGTGGAGCAGTTTGTGGGAATGATCGGACGGAGAATCGTTGCTTTAAGCGATTATTGGAACAATTTACAGAGTAGTGTAACTGGCCTACGTTGACATAACGTCTGAAGGAATCCACTCTACGTGACTGGAAAGTGGTGCCAGCCCGCTATCAGCATCAGAAATCCAGGGTGAAATGTCATTCTTTCAGGGCTTGATGTGTTGCTCAGCGGTTAAGGCGCTTACTTACTGACTAGAAGGTTCGTAGTTCGAACCAAACCTCGGCACCTCTTGTACTCCCTGGCATCCTGGTAGTATCTCAGTCCTTGTGCTTGCTTCAGGTGGCATGGCAGCTAGGCATCGAATAAGTGCTAAAGCGAAGCGGTTGGTCTGATCATTCCTTGAACGCGACAAGGTATGTGGCCTGGATAATGTGCACACAGCACTTTTCAATGAAGGTGGCGGAACAGTCTGACGGCCCAACGACGAAACATTGGAAAAATAATAATAATATAGTCGTTCAGTTGTAACACCCTTTCGGTGCTTAGCTGCCATTCCACCAGGAGAAAGCACGAGGGCTGCGATACTGCCAGGTTGCCCAAGATCAGACAGGGGAAGTCGAGAGTCAGAGGTTTAGCTCGAACGACGGACCTTCCACTCAGTAAATTCGCGCTCCCGCCAATGAGCCATCTCACCCCCATTAGTCAGAGAAGTGGGAACATCTGTGGTGGAAACTCACATTGAAAAAAAGCAGAGTGCCAGTAGAATGGGACTCTTCGATCGTGGCCCCAGTCTTTGAAAAGGGCGCAAGAACTTCACACAAAAACCATTGTCTCGTCAGCCTGGTAGCCCTAGGCGCTCGCATTAGTTTGTGCAGGTTTATCGATTGCCGAAGAAATGAGATTTGAAAGAAGCAAACTGGATTTCGTCTTGGCCGGAAATACATCTTTATCATGAGGTAGTATCCTAAACACTTCCACTCAACTGTCAACCACTGATAGTTCTTTTGACTACTTTGGACTCAGTAGTTTGTCGGTGCCTAGTTATTAGGAGTGTTCCTTGTGAGGGCACTGTTAGAGAACTGTGGGCGTGCATCAGCATACATCAGTCTTTCATTTGAGTTCACCAGGGCTGCAAGACACCATTGCTCTTCAAATTGTCATTGACGTGCTATTTGAAACATCTCTGCCTGTCTCCGAAACTAGGCATATCGAAGTACTTTCGAAGCGCTTGCTCATCGGTATTGAGTACGCAGACGAGACTCCTCTTCCTGGTTCAGATCCTGAATGGTTCTCTCACTTGCTTTGGTATGCGTTTCAAGTCTATGAGATGTAAACTGCCACTACAAGACTGGGTGGGATCAACATCAAACCCCATGCTTGCAGGCCAACTAATCGACTTGGTAGATGAATTTCTCCACCTAGGCAGTTGTACAAGTTCCGCTGAACTGGTTTCAGGCGGGATGGATTCTCGAATCAGCAAGGCCAAGGTAGCGTTTGCCAACCTCCGTCACCCATAGCGCTCTCGTGGTATCAGCTTTTCTGTCAAGGGCAGAGCATACAATGCGACCGGATGCCCCAGATTACCATCGTATATGTAGTCTATGCGGGGTTTCAGGGACTGTCCCAACAACCCATTTTGCGCGCCTTGTCCAATAGTCCCTCATTTGCACACCAATATTCGGCTGAGGTGTTTCCAGGAGTCTCCGGGGTTCCCCTGTGGTGGGTGACGGACCTACGGAGTCTCTAATGAACAAAACAAACTACTAATCTAAGTCAGTCACAAGGAAAGCAATCCAAGGAAGTCTTGACTCAGTTCACAAGAAGAAATTCCGAAAGCTCGTTGAACCACCACACCAAAAAGAGAATGTTCTTCTTTCCTGGTATTCAAAGCTCCGGTGGTCGCAATATGAATCCACTGATGCGAACGGATAGGTCCAGTGTTTTCAGCCAAATTTCTTTTTTTCCACGTTGGGAATTAGTTCCAGCCAACGTTATTCAACAGCTAGTACCAACAGCCGTCACTCAGCAAAAGAAGCAAAGTCCCACTGAGACCAGGAAGCAGGGGCTTCTTGTATAGTTCATTTAACCAAACTTTGTACAATAATGTGACCAATGACGACATGGAGAAAAGAGACGATATTGAGCGGAAACAATAGCAGTTTACAAGTGTTACGTGCGCTACACCAAAGGTACGCCGTATCCTCTGGTTTAAGCTGATTGTGGGCTTATAGCAGGTGCTTCCCCTATTTTTATGGATACGTAGTATTGTGCGTAAAGTGGTAAAGTTTGCGGTAAAGTTTGCAAACACAACCCACAAATGGTCTCCAAACGGTCTCCAATTACGAATCACAGTTCTTTTAGGATCTGTCTGTATACAAAAAAACAGGCCGCGTGTGTTATGTCACCGTACGATTCCCAGATGGTCATTTCGGGTGTGCTTTAAACATACACTAGGTTTCAAAGGAACTTACGAGCTCTTGCTTAGTGTTTGTAATTATGAACTGGAGTCAACGTTGATACTAGCTTTTGCTTAACTCGGTTGAACGCTTTGCAATATTTTTCACCCAAACACATTCGAAGTGACTTTCTACTGGCTTTTTACTGGAATGGAGCTCGTGCTGGATCAGTGTTTAAAGCGCGATTTTCCATGGTTTGAAGCCAACCCCCAACAGCTTGATTTCTCCTGCGTAAGCTTGGGCAACCTGGCAATATCTTAGCCCTCGTGCTTCCTTCGGGTAGCATTGCATCTAGGCACCGAAAGGGTACTACAGCTGAACCGTTGTTTTTGATTACTATTCACTGACTTGCACCGGCTTCAGTAATCGATTTCTCATCTTGATGGCAGATGACTCACGTCATACGGGCACATTTGAATACGATCGTGGGCACACGTGACAGTAACGCATGATATTGCCTTCTAACTTCATAGCGTCACTCGATCTCATCTCACCAGTGTGCATCACGGTGGTGCACCAAAATGAACGTATCACCATGCGATCACTCGATGCATGGAAACCACATTCCAGCTCTTGATGAGCTATTCGACAAGACAGTTGGGAATTGTCTGACGCCAGTGGCTGCCGCCTGATTCCATGCTGGTAGTTGGAGAATGGTCAAGCTGTCTGTTGAAACTATCCTACGTTTGAGCTGGGGGGCGTTTTTCGATTATTCACTGTTTGTGTAGTGGATGCTGCCAGTGGATCCAATCGTTCTTTGCTCGGCTTGAGTATC